AACATGAAGGGGAATAAACTGAGGGCCAGGGGAGGCTGGGCTGGGGCGCAGCAGACGCAAGTCCTCCCTGAAGGCTCCTCTGTTTGACGACCTCCTACCCACATCTCCCCCAGCGCCAGCCTCCTGTGATGCTTCCTTCACGTTTGCAGCCATCACGTTAACAGCGGTTTAAAGGTTTGTTGGAAAGGTGCCAATTTTGGAAGACAGTCAAAGGCTACAACTCCTTCCCCCACCGCTCTTGTCGTCCAGGGCTTGCTTGCTGCAGTGAGCTGACCACTGTGGGCAGGCAGGTCTGATGACAGGGCCAGAGAGGCCAGGCCACGCACGTGACCCTCCCAGCTACTTACCAATTAAGTAAGTCACTCCTCCCCGAAGGAGACAGGAATTGAGGGGATTGGAGAGAAAGATAGATGTTTTCCCTCCAAAACATTTGATGGCAGATCCAGGTTTTGTGGGGTTTGAAGCTTACATAATTTGGATGGTCCTTTTTGAAACAAGTCAGGTGGTGAAAAACAAATACCATATGATCTCATCTATAAGTGGAACCTTATAATCAACAAAATAAACAAGTGAGGAAATAGAACCAGACACATGGAAATAAAGAACAAACTGATAGTGACCAGAGGGGCGGGGGCAAGGGGGTAACTGGGGAAAGAAGGGGAAGGGCCAAGACAAGGAACATGCATAAAGGACCTGTGGACAAAGAGAACAGGGTGGGGGGAGGGTTGAATGTGGGAGGTGGGGGTTGGAGAGGGAAGGGGAGAGTAATGGGGGGGAAATGGGGACAAATGTAATTGAACAACAATAAAAAAAGTGAAAACAATTGCAAGTGTAAAATTACATAGAAGACTTGGAAGAGGCCTGAGCAAGGAAGGTCCTGTCACTGGTGTTACAGCTTTACTGCGGATCCTCCTCTGCTCTTGAGAGGGTAGAAACACCTATTTTAGTGCGCAAATCTATTAGCCTACTCTCAGACACAATAATTCAACTTGCAAGCAAACGAACTTGACCTAGCTTAAATGATAAAGAAGAGTAGTGGCTCACGTTAATGAAGAGTCCAGTTGTTGGACAGCCTCCGTGATTGGTGGAGCGAGCAGCTTCACAATGTCTTAATGACCCAGTTTCTTTCCTCTGTGCTGTCCACGGCATGGGGGCTCCCTTCAAGTTCACAGCATGAATGCCCGCAGCAGTGGGGACAACCAGCTCTCTCTTTCCTGTCAGAAGAGAAAAGACAAGTGCCTCAACCATAGGATAAGACCCTGATCTTCAAACCATGGCTTGTTGCACTCAAGAGTCCAGATGACTAAGACTGAAGTCAAGAACTGGGGCAAGAGGAAGAGGGTAACCTTAGAGGTCAGGCCAACCAGCGCCCATCTCGAGAGGTGAAGACTAAAGATAAGGGCGTGGCTCATCCTGACCGCGTGGCTGCTGCGTGATAGAGAGGAACTGAGGTTGGCGAAACATCCACAATCTTGAACCGGAGGTTAGATTATGCAAGAACAGGCTAAATGTATGGAAAGTTTTCCAGTCATTTGTTTGATTTACATTTTCCCCCAATCTTCCATTTCCTCTACCAGGAGACTGACAGCCAGGTGGGCACTAGCGTACCCGGCACCTACAATAAGGACTCAGAATTGATTGAGAGAAGATGTGAATTTACCACAGACTTAGGAGAAACAGCTGGTTGGAGCATTAAATAGGGAACTGTAATGGTTTATGTGCAAATGAAGGGATATAAAGTCAAAACAACAAAAAGATGTAGAGATTACTGGACGTGAGCTGAATTTGCAAGTCAGGACAGAACCATAGGTCTTATCAAAGAAAGTGGAAATAGGATAAATGGCTCTTCAAACTTTACCATGTCTGAGGTGTCAGAGGCTCATGGACATCAAAATGTGTTCCAGAGAAACCGAAAGAGAAGTTAAAAGTGAAGGATATTTAAGAGAACTATTTTATTTTGACATTCTGTGGGGAGGGCAATCAGATTTAACGTAAGCACTAAACTTGTAAATTTGTACAATGGAATACCTGGAGCTGAAGGTAATGATTTAACACATTTTTTGGTAGGAAAGTAGAGCCAAAAGCAAGGACTCTCTCTCAGAGTGGCAAAGCTACTGGAGAGAAAGGACTGTGCAACAGTTTTGCAGGAACTCTTATTTCCCATTTTTTACATCTTTCTTTCCCCTGAAAAGATGGACAAAAATCTAAGCTTTGAAACTCAGATTACACTTTAAGTATCATAAACTTTTTTCTTTAAACAAAACAACTCATTGGTGAGGTGCTGGTAAATGTTTATTTTTAGAACTGAAATAGCCCCATATTCTTTGGTCTTCTAGTACAAATTTTTAAATATTCAGTTTTATAAATCAAGTCATACCTGTTCTGGGTAATGTGGTGGTATGTGTGGTAGATTTCATTTAGGGCGGGGTGGTTAGATTGCAATGGCTTTAAATCAAGGTTCCACCTCAGGAACCTCGGAATGTTAGGTAGGAGATTAGAGAAGGTCCACAGCTTGCCAAGAACTTCAGCTATTCTGATAAACAATTTGATTGCTGATGCTGACTCTTGCATACTCAACAGGTTATCCAAGTCCTATACTTGATGCTTGTTGTGAAGGTAGTATTTGAACCACCCTTCCCACTGACATAGTCACTCATTTGTCTATTTAAATACCATTTTCTATTAATATGTCAGTATGCCTCCCACCATGGCAAAGTTTCCGGTGGCCACACGCTCTGCCTTGGCTCTCTGTACATAGCTGGTGTTGAAGGATGGAGCAGGTTTTAAAAAAAAGAAAAGGATGTATGCATAAGAAATAAAATGCATAATACGGTATAATTTTAGGGAAGTAGATTAAAGTCGTAATTTATTTGAAAATGGAATCAGTATCATATAAAAGGCCTTTGAAAGTTACATGTAAAATTATAAGAAAATTGTGCCTAAGAAGACCATGATAATTAATATGTTTTCTGCATAAAGAATCTGATTTTGCCACACCACCTAACCACTGATTAGGATCCTCTCACAGCGAAAAATATGGCGACATGTTCAAAGTACCCTAAGCAGTATTTAAGGTGAATGGTCTTTGATCCAAATAGCTATTTATACACTGAAAGATGGGAGTGCTCTAGGTCCAAGGTAATTTGACCTATGTACACATTACACATTTGCCCAGAGTAAAGCCAGGGGCTTTACAATGACTCCTAGTGGACGATATAACCTGCCCTACCCCATTTGTCTCTCTTACTTACCTGCTTCCTTCCCCTTCTTCCTTCTGCTGCACCCACACTGACCTCCCTGCATTGGCAGAACATGCCAGGCTCTTTCTCACACTTAAGTCTTTTGTAGCAGCTGCTTCGTCTGCCTGGACTACTCTTCCTTAGGAACCCGCAAAACTACCTCCTTCAAATCTCCACTCAAACATCACTTTCTCAATAACGCCCATGTTATGCATCTTATTTAACTTTGGGATTCTCCCCGCTCTCGATACCCCTTACTCTGCTTTTTCTCTCTGATATTTATCACCTCCTAACGGCCAATGTAAGTTTTCTTATGTATGATGCCTTTGTCCTTTCATCGTGTCGATCGAAAATTTCATGAGAGAAGAATTCTTTGTCTTTTTTGTTCTCTGCTTATCCTACAGTGCTTGGCACACTGTTGGTTAACAGTAAGTATTTTCTGAGTTAATGAACATTTCTATGATCTGCTTGCTTATGGTTGACTCAGGAACCGCTTTAATCATGCGGTATGTTTCAAAAGTCAAACTTCCTCCTCAAGGAGAAACACTCATCTATCAAAAACAACAACAACAACAACAAAAACCTCTAGGGATAAAAAAAAAAAAAAAAAAACAAACCCCTCAACATCAAATTCTCATTTCCAAATCTCCAACAAAAAAATTGTTTTTCTAGGTAAGTAATACAAATGGGTAAAATTGCAATTTCACGCAAACACATGCGCAAGAAAAAAATACATATGTGAAGATGTTAGTAAGAGTATTCTGAGTTTTACAAAAACAAACAAACAAAATGCTACGTGAAATGTCAAAGAGACTTAGATCAGAAACGGGAACACAGAGAGGCCTTCTTGTTGGGCTTATATGTAACTCATCCTACGAGGGATACAGCGTCCACAGCAGGCACGAATTGCCAAGCAAATACCCCTGTCAACCAGCTTGCTTCTCAGGTGCAGGCTACCCTTCTCCCAGGTCTAACTCAGCCCTGGCTGAGAGGACGCACAGCCGCTGGATGGCTGAATACGTCGGAAAGGTTCGCGGTTCCCAGTAACTGAAGCCAAAATTCGGTGACCTGTCACTCCGCTCTGAAAGCCTAAATGAGTAATTCACAGCCTGGGATCTCCGTGGGGTTGCCCCGTCCCTCGGGGCCCCTGACACCTGAGCCCCGGGCGAGGCTCAGTCCCCAAGTGTCCAGTGACCCCAGGGTCAGGGTGAATAAACCTCACCCACTTCGGGCTTGCCTTCCAGAGAGGGCAAAGATGGGTCGGGGTCGCTTATTAGGTCGCATTTTACCACTTTTGGGACTTGGGTCCGTTTCGTGGGCCTTCGGCACCGAACGGACTGAGCCCAGACCTCACCCTGGGCCACTTACGGACATTGCACAGGTGGCACCGGGCTCGAAGAGAAGGGCGACCACCCGCGGCAGGGACCCGAGGTGGCCCCCACCTCCGAGCTTCGCGGTCCACGCCTGGCTCCGGGGAGCACAGCCCGGGGCAGCCCCACCCGTCGGGGCGGGGCTCCTGCTCGGCTCAACCACTGCCCGCGGGGAGGGGTGTCCGACCAACAGCACCGTCCTAGCACTAGCGCTGGCGAGTACCCCCGGGGTTCCTCCTCCACGCCGAAAAGCTCCCTGCTCTTGCCGCCCTTTGCGCGACGCCGAAAAGCCCCATCCTGTCCTTCCCGCCCGCCTTCTCCGCTCCCTACCCACCTCCCCGCCTCGCGTGGTGCGGTCCGGGTAGGAGGTCACAAGGCGGCGGGGCGTGGCCTGCTCCGAGCCCAGGAGGTGCCTCTCGCGGCCTCTGCAAGCGTTTCGGAGCGGCTTTGGCGGCTGGAACGATGCTGGGCCGGAGCCGCCTAACCTTCGTCTTCCTGACCGTAGCCGTCACCTGCGCCGTGGCGCAGCACGCGCCGCCGGTGGGTGAGCTTGCGCCGAGGGCGTGGGGGGCGCAGGTGCGGGCGTGGCAGGGAGGGCGGGGCGTGAGGAACACCTGATCGGGGCAGCATCTTTACAGGTATCCAGAGTTTCTTGCACGCGGGGTGGGTAAACCCCACGCGGGATTGATTCGGCACGGCTGGAACAAGAAAACCTTTTAGGGACATCCTGATCCCTGCAGAATGGTGGGTGTCATTTACACACCCTGAAATTTCAGGGATTGCACTTGTTGTCCCAGTTCTGGGCTCGTGCATTCTGAACTGCTGAGAGAAAAATTTCCAGTCGACTAGTGTACATAACTCACTTAAGCGAGGGACTGCTTGATGACTTTGGCATTCTCTGCCCGGTGACGAGCCGCTGATGAAGTTGCAGTTAAGGATCATGAGCTCTCTGGGGAAGGCCGAGGCGTCCCCAGTCAGGGACGTGGGAGCAGCCCAGGCAGGCCCCAGTGGCTGCTGCACCCTCGCAGCGGTCAGGCGGACGCCTGTCCTGTGGCTCTTTTGTCACGAGGAAGTCCCAGGAACACAGACTGAGCACTGCAAGAGGCAGCGAGGCTCCAACCTGACTCTTTGTTTTGCCGAGGAGGAAGTGGACTGAGTGACACAATGTGTAGCCAGAGGTCACACTTTTGTCTGCAGCAGCACGCTGAGCTCAAGCCTCTTGACACCCGGGCTGGTGCTCTTTCTTAATTCTCGTCTTTAAAAGCTGCAAGGCTACGTGTTTCTTTGTCAGCTGATCAGATAACTAGGACCTCGGTGCCTCTGACCTGAGACTAGATGAGGAGGATCTTGAATAGTTTAGCTAGGAAACTGACGGTAGGACCAAGGTGTGTATCTTATTCTCTTACTTCTCTAAGGAGAAGTGCATTACGAGTAAAATCATGGTGGAATATTAGTCAGTCATTACAAGTTATTGTGTTAAGCAAGTAAAATCAGAATACAAAATAGTGATTTCAGTAACAGGAAATGCACAGTATACATATATAGACAAGGACTGGAAGAGTAGAAAGAAAAGTAAAATTAGTGTGCTTTAGTGTGAGCAGGAAATTAATTTGCTTTAGAGCGGTTGGAGTTACCTGAATTTTTAAGGAATTTATTACTTTGACATCATCTATGCCCTTCAGCCAACCTGCCCCGCCCTGCCCCTCTCCCCCGCCCCCCCCTACCCAACATACCTGTAGTGGAACAAATTGTTACTCTTTGTGGTGAGGGAAGACACACCACGGGCTCCTGGGGGGCCCTTCAGTGCAAAGCAGGAAAACCCTATTTCATCATTTGGAACTTGGCCGTGTGATCTGGAGACAGGTCTAAGGAACGGAGGGTTGCTGTCCATTGAATGCTTGTGGAGAGTGGGGCAATTCCATGATTGAGCAAAGAAGAGACAGTCACTCATTTAGCAAGAGAAGGGGTGTTTGGCATTTTGTGTGTTGCACAGTACTCTTGTTTTTGTCTGTGCTGAGACAGAATCATGAGTGGCTTTGCTTTGTCCGGTTTCACCTTGTCTCTGGGGAAGCTCAGCCCAGGGGGCTATGCGGTGAGGCTTGTTGTATCGCGTAGGAGAACAGCCAGAGCCTGGCCCCGCGTGGCCGACCGGCTTTTGGTAATAGTGAGGTCTAGTTGTGAACTTCAGAGAAGTTTCAGATGTCAGGGGCTGCTTTTTTTTTCTTCCCTCTCTCAATACTTTACTTTTTCAAGCAAGAGAATTCCAAAGGCTGTTTTTAAAACACGAAGAACCAGCAGTCCTCATGAATTTAATAGGTCTTACCTAGAACAGCCGTTGTCAAAATCTAGCCCAGCTATAGTATCAGTTCGGGAAGTCGTTTTCCTAAGTCTTTAATGAAATGAGAAAAACGAGGGCATGAAACTAAAACTATTAAGTCAGAAGTTAGCTTTTATTCTGATTTTATGGCCTTCCAATTTTTGTTGTTAAAATGTTCTTTCTTTTATGGGTATGAGGTTTTGCTTTGTGTAGGTTAGCATGTCCTCTTGGGAGAATAAAAAGTTGGACTCCCCTGTGCTGGGCTTCTCTTAATTTTTTTTACTACTCTGGAAAATTCTGGGAGCCACTGGCTCAAACCTCACAGAAATGTAACAACCTCATTGTCTGACAAGAGTAAGCAGTTTTTAACTTTGAATCATTTTACATGATACACTGTCAGTAGCCACATAGGGACAAAAGGCATTTCAAAACTACTGATAAATGTGAATAATGAGGCCCTGCTTTAAGTTGCAAACAAAAATCACTTGAGCTGGAATGTCTGTGGGCTTTGTTCCTTCTTGTTTTCGAGGCTTTTCAGAATATAGCATATTTTAAGGTCTTCTGAGTCATTCTTTACTACGGGTTCTAGAGCTGGTGGTAACAAGGGCACAGAAGCGTCTGGAGAGCACTCTCAGGCCTCCTTAGTGATGTTGGAATCCATCTTAAAAGCATAGGAAGCCATTGGATAGTTTTAAACAAGATATGACAAGATCACGTTTTCACGTTAGAGATCCCTTTGGATTCGAAGGGAGCTAGGGTGGGTATGAGGAGACTGGTCCAGGGGAGAAAACGGGAGGACTACAGAGGATGGCGCCAGTGGAGGAGGAGAGAAATGGGTGGTTCTGAGAAGACGAGGAAGCAGAATGAGCAGAAGGAAGACTCAGATGGGGCTGAGGGACAGGTGCCTTTCAGAGGCGCTCAGCTGGGTGAACCGTGGCTTCGCCACCAGGGAACACGGCAGGCAAACGTTTGGCAGGGGGAAGAATGAAGATTATTTTCATTCTGGTTCTGTCGAACTTCTAGTCGCAACGAGCTATCCCGCAGACCTTTGGGACTGGAGCTCAGGAGGGAGATCTTGGGGGTCCCAGGCATGTTACTTGAAGTCATTGGAGCAGGTGAACATTGAGCAGAGGGAGGGTATAGAAAGAGAAGAGGAGGCCTAGGCCAAGGCTAACAGACCTGAACAGGCACGTGTCAGGTGGAGAAGAACTGACCAAGCTAAGGCAGCAACCAAGTGGTCGAGGGAGTGTTGGGGAGGCTCAGAGAGTGTCGGACAGGTTACCTGTGTTGAATGCCATTGAGATGTCAGGTGTCTGTAGTGCTTGGCCACTGGAGGTCACGGACCGCCTCGGCCACTGCAGGCTGGCAGGGGCTAACAGTGTGCGGTGGGCGGAGGCGTGGTCCCAAGGAAAGGAATCGCAACGGGGGACATGGTGCTTCTCAGGAACAAATCTGAGCGGATTCTGAAAACGTGTGAAAAAGAAACATAATAGCTCAGTAATTAATGGCCGAATTAAACTTATTTTTATGCATCAGCTTCTCATGTGAATAATAGCATTGCTGACACAAGCTGGCGGAGTCAGGTTTTAGCAATCTCATTTCCACCAAGTTTCCAGAAATCATATAAACCCTGTCTGGCCTGACCAGTTTAATTGTAAGTGCATCTGCTTTTCCCCAGTGCTGCAAAGAAAGGCACACGCTGGTGTAATCTGTCACTTAGTCAGCAAATACTGCGTGCCTAGTATGTGGCAGACTCTGTTCGAGATGTTGGAAACAGGTTGATGAACAAAATGAAAGGTCCCGGCCCTCATGGAGGGTTTATTCACATTTCTTTTACCTAAATATCCCCAGTTTAATTGGGTCCCATCCCACCAAAAGTCAGAAAACAAATGAAAAACTTTGCATACTCATTTGAATTTGTTATATATGCAAGAAACATCCCTTTTCTTATTCCATTGGTGTGTGTCTGCTCTGTTGTACTCAGAGAACATTTTAAGAAAAATCTTACTTGGAAAGTACTTGTTGAATTAAAGAATTGAATTAAAACTGCTTTCCTAGGATTGTTCAACTTCTTTTCTGATGGTATGAACACTGGTGTGAGCTGTATAATTTCTTTAAATTATCTTTTATTGTCTTTTTCTGAGTATGTGAATAACATGAGGGCTCTCTGAACCTTTTCGTACAGCCTTTTCCTTGAGGTTCTCACTAATTCTTCAGGACTCAGATATTTTAAGGAGTTGTACAAGTTATGTCATTTATTTTAGTGTGGAGCATTTAAATTGCTGATGGAAAAATTGTTTCTTTATATATAGTTTTCCTAAATATAGTATCTCCAGTAGCTTTATAATTGGTTTGTCTTAATGAGTGGAGAGGACAAAAAGATTAATTAATTTCAAAAAGGTTCAAGTTCCTGTCAAATAACCAGAAGTAGCAGAGAATTCACTAACCCAGAAAGTACTTACAAAATGTTTCACAGAGATTTTCAGTATTTCCTCTGGCCTTAGGAATCAAAAGTGAGAAAGGGCATGTGAGAGAAACTGAGATTTTAAGTTGGGTGTGTTTTTTCCCTGTGATGGAGTAGCACCATACACCAAGCAGACTACACAATATCCCTAACCCGTCATCTATAATCTCTACCTCTCATCTATTTAAATTTGCACTTACCTTGATAAGATTGTCTATTATTAAATCCATGTGTAATTAAATTTGGAGACAACAAGAAACTTTAAATAACAGATGAGCTCATTGTAACTCTAAGTCTAGACATAGATTTTGAACCTCTTTCCTTGTACAAGTCTCCCTTGTAGGCGAGGAGGTGGCTGTCTCCACTCGACCCCCAAATCTCACCTACGTAAAATGACTTTTTTACCCTTTACTCTTACAGATTCTGTGCAGATTTCATGGCTGTGTTATAATTTGTGTTGGTTGCTGCCGGGATTATCATAGTAAAACATCTTACCCACCTCCGACCCCTATTTGTATGACGGCCGCCTCGCTTCTCCCCTCAGGAGCAGGTTGAATTCCCTCCTGAGACTTGACAGAGCACGTTTACCTCCCATCACCGGAGTCTCATCATCGATAAGCCCTGTAGTTTGATTTTTATATTGGCTTTGGAACCCAGGTCACACAAACATTAATATCCGGGGGAGATGAACATCATTACCTTTCATTGACTTGCTGAGTAGATTCCAGTGATCATTAAAACCCTGAGGGAAGTTCAGAC